TTTCTCCTGGTATGGAAATTATTACATTTGCTCTCTAGGTCTTCCCTCTTCTCTAATTTATTTACCTTCTTTCCAAGAAGTATGGAATTTAACAAATTACTCATTATAATATAGTTATTACTCTGGAAAGCATAATTGTTATAGCTTTCAATTATATTTGTTTGCAGACCCACAAACTAGAAAATCAGACCCATCTTGCCATGCGCACATGTAACATCCTCTCTTTCACAAATTGCCAATATTTCTCTCTCTGATGCTTAATACTGTATTAGTTATGACCAGTAGAAAGCCAAACTTTCAAATGACATATTTTCAAACTTTCAAATATATCAAATGACATATTACATTACATTGTTTTCTGTACGGAGTATTGTCTATTTTGCTTCTAGATAAACTTTATTCCCATGGAAAGCACATTGAGGAGCTTAGCTGAATTTTTAACACCTTTGATCACATACTTAGATAGCCAGAAACATTATAATAGTTGTAGGGCATTATCTGCTTTTTACGTGTTATTATTATGTGTTCTTAGGTGCAGATATAATGAAATATATAGTGTGATAGTACCATTAGTATAAAAAAGTAGGCTTAAGTTTCATTAACAGTCAACAAAAAAAAAAAATAGAAGACTCAGGTAAGTACCATAATTTTTGTTTTTCACGTGTATTATTTACTTATTACTATAAAAGTAACTAAAATGTAAAAATCTGAAACTTGCTAGGTTAGATACAGATAGATTAGGTAAGATAAAGAATAATAATAAAAAGTCTTTATGAAGTATGCTCATGAACAGCTTGTGAGTAGTTCATGCATTACGTAATTTGATAGGGTAACATGAGCTACACATTTGCCAAGTGATTTGCAACTTGTATTACAGTATTATTAGTTAGACATGGTTCAAAAGTCAATAAAACAATAAAATTAAGTATAAATAGATGTATACTGTTACAAGCTTTAAGATATATAAGATAAACAATTGTGGTTTCCTGTTACAACTTGCAGGCATTTTAAAAAGAAAAAAGGGTAATTTAGAACCATTTCTTAATTTTTTTATGGTGATTATGAGGTTGGTCAAATTGGCCAACCCTGTATAGAGTAACAGTATTGATAATGATAAATAAAACAAAACATTTGATATTTATTTAGGAGGTTTTAGGGGGTTATACAAATGAAATTTGAAAATTTTCAGATGAAATAAGTATTTATAATTTTAACATGAAAATCACTTTCATGCTGAGCAGTTAACACTCTAACACCATATAATTGTGTACAAGTTTTTAGTAAAAGTATGTAATTAAAAATTATAATTTTTTGTCTAAGAAAGACTTTTAGTGTTTACTGAAAACTTGCCAAATTTCATGAAGATACATTAAATACCTTCAAGAGTCATTTATGCCACCATGGTTGGTTACCAGGTCGTGTAAAATCACGAGCTCATTGCGATAGGGTTAAAAGGTTTATGGGTTTCTGGGGATGAGAATTCATTCAACCAAATAATACAAAACTATGACAGGCCTCTTATGTTTTAGGAGTTTCTATGTTTTTCTAGAGCTGGGACCTTCATAGGTTATTCCTATTCCTGCATTTGTCTTTGTCTCATATGCATAACTTGCAGTCTTCTTATCTCAGAAGTTTCTTGCATTTCTCTGAATTTGTTCTTTTGGGACCCTTGTATGCAATTTCAACCTCTCTCAGAGTTGAGTGTAAAGAGTTACTCTGCTGAAAAGACTTATCCTTTCTTAGTGTCCTTAGGTCCAGTCTATTTAAGGATGGTACATTCTATTTATTCTCTCTTAAATCTAATTCTTCAAATATGTCTGGTTGTAGATTTTGTCTAGGTTTTTACCTTCCTGCCATATCTATATTTTTATGTACAGTCTTAAATTATTCTAGTTACCACTAGCTTTTCAATGTGGGTTTCTGGTTTTTATTATTTAAAGAGTGTACCTAATTTGAATTTTACATTTTTAAGATTAAAATGAATTTCAGTCCAGTACTTATATCTATTTCACCTTTCTACCGAACTTCCACAATCTGGTGACATTAAGAATTATGATAGGCAGATAGAACTTATTAAGCTCTCCATAATTTTTGCAATAAGCTCTTGAGAATTCTGGGTAAGTTGACACATGCTCTGCATGGCATCAAGGATATATAGATCTTTGAGGCATGTGGTTGTTAACAATCTGAGAGCACCTCAACAAGAAAAAGCTAGCTAAGAGGTAAGTACTTGTAGAAATTAATTTTCATCAATAAAAATGTAAAAGTCTGTTCTTGAATGTTTTATATTGTAATGAATTTATTCATGCAATACATCATGTCTTAAGGATAATGGAAATAAACTATGGGCATTGAAGAAATGATAGAAAAGTAGCTTTAGGCTCTCATAACTTTATATAGTTTTTTTGAAGCACGGGCAAAGATAATTAACAGCTCAAGTTTGTTACTGTATTCAAAATATTATTGTTTTTTTATTTGTTTATCTGGTTTTTTTATACTTTTAAAGGTCTTTTATAATTAAGTCACAGTAGTTATCTGTTACATTTTTATGAAACTTAAATACTTAATACTTAAAAATGTTATTTTACAGCAATCTAAATACATTCCTTATGTTTTTTATAAATTCGTCTATGAAACCATATTATAGAAAAACTTGTGCTTTAGCATCTGAAACATTTGAAAATTTTCTTGTTTAAACTCTGGAATAATACACTTCATTTGAAATATGTATTTACATTATAGTATTTCAGTATTTATAGTTTAAGTAAAATACACCAGCCTGTTCTGTATGTGTTGTTATACATATTAATTTTACTTGTACTTGACAAAAATATAAATGTCAGTTACATTAAATCATGTTTTTAAATGCACTTACACATATTATATAAATAGTAAATATCATATAACTCTGTAAGGTTTTCTTGTGTGTGTGTGTATGTGTGTGTGCAATCTAGTGTACTGTGATAACTTTAGAAAAACTACTTAGTGCCTTGGATTTCTCCAGTTTAACCATTTGTTTCTACCTGCTAGTATTCTATCCAAAAAAATGTTTGACTGTTCTATAATTTATGAAGCCTTAAAATTTATCTCATCTTCCAATCAATTTAAAGGTGGATCAACAAGTAATAATTAACCAATAAAATTGGATCTGTGGACGTTCATTAGCTTAAAAATAGATGTTGGCTTTGCAGGGTTTTATTTTTATACACTTTCTCTGTTATATATATATATAATTTTGGTTAATGAAAGATCTTATTTTTAATTTTAAGTTTAATATTTAAATATATAAAATACTGATATGAAATGTTTCAACCAGAGTATGTTTTATTTTCCACTAAAAATTAAAATCTTAACCATATTTATGTGAAACTTCATTGTTAATTTTGTAAATGTTTGTAGAATGACTGCTTCATATGCTCAAAACCACATGCAGGTAGTGATGGTTTGATCAAGGGGCCCAATGCCGCCATTGGTATCACAGCACTAACAAAATAAATAACTGGGTACCAAAATACACAAATAAATATGAATATGAACCCGATATAAAATTTACTAAGCCTTATCACAGATTGTGTAATTCACTTAGTAAATGTTTATAGATAAAAAATAATTACTAGAATTTCTATGGTGTTCAGCATTTTACATTCAAGATTTAATGATTTGTATTATATGTCTAGTTATAGACATACTGCCATTTTGAGATGTCTCAAATGTATACGTACATCTAGGGATGGTTTTCTGTAAAATATTATGCCAGTATTTGGTACTGTTGCATCAGGGAGGTCACGTGATTAGTATCACGCCACGTCCTTCTCGAACCTTCGTGAATTGTCGGGAGATTACTAGATATAGTGTAGTCTTGTATATATAAGACCGGCCACGAAGCGACGCGGACGTAATGAGTAATTGAATTGCAGTCAGAGAGTGTGTAATTGAACTGAGTATTGTTGAAGTTGAGCACGTGAGACGTTTGTTGTTATAGCGCTTGTTATAGCGCGACTGTTGAAATTAAGTGTATCGTAAAGTTGTATTCGGAAAGAATAAACCAGTTTTATTTAAGAAAGGACTTGTGTCGCTAAAGTTTCGTCGGAACGAATTTACGAAAAATTAACTAACAAACACAGAGACGTAACAGTATGCTTGCAGAACAGATGTTAAGACTCACATGCCTCTCTGTTCCTCTCCTGTAATTTTTAAATGCATTTATGATTTAACATTTTGGTAAGTACTGTTGTAGTATATAGTACTGTGTAAAATATACTTTGCCACAGAAAATTTTAAGTTAATTTAAGAGCAGATTAAGTATTGTTAATTAATCAGGTCATTTAATACAACATATAATACTTTATAATTTTATACAAAACATTATATCTCTAGAATTAATAATGGGATCCAGATTCCTATCTGCTTTTTAAATTTATTTTCCTGAACTGTTTATCTACCAATATGTTTGTGGGTTCATGAATTGTTAGTTACAGGATCCTTAATAACATATATGGAAGTAATGAAAAAATAATGCTAGTATATTTTAAGATGATATTTTTATAAATATTGTTGTTTTTATGATTATATTTTAGGTTCTTATGAATTACTTGATGAGTATTACTAAGAAACTTGCAACAGAAGAGAATCATGCAAAGTGCATTTTAGCAGTCTACTGGACCATTCTTTGGAACCATTTTAAACTAGAAATCAACATTATAGATAGAGATGAAATTTCCCAGATTTTTCTGTCCCTTGAAATAACATCTGAAGGGAATTCATGTCCAAAATTCAGTGTATTATCAAACTGGTTGTCGGAGGATGAACGAAGGTATAAATCAGTGTATTAAGACATAAACGATTCTCCACAGATGTTTTATGACATTATCTGTAGTTAGGGCATTATACATTTCAAATTTGTAACATTAACAGGTAAGATTTGTCATTTATCTAACACAGTTACTTTCCTGATAGGTTTTGTACCAAAACCTATAAACTAGGTTTTTACCAGCTAAGCTCAGAGTTCGTTTGAGATACTACTTGTATGCAATATTGACAGTCAGATGTCAAAATATAAACTGTCTGAACTGAAATGATTATTGATTTTATACTGATTTTGTGAAAATGTATTTTACATCCATGCATCTTAAAAAGGAAATAGTAAAAATATATTCTATCAGAAGTTAAGGTTAATACTCTGAAGAGAAATTAATTCAAATATAGAAAAAAATGTTAATGTTACCTTATAATCAGAGAAAGCATTTCACTTAGTCAAAACTAAAAATCATAGAGTGATGTGTATAACCAATTAAATATACTGTTCTTACATTCTTATAAAGGTTAGAATGCAATGTTTCTTCAGTTGGTATTCTCGCTGGTAATGATAACATATGGTTCATATTTATGTCCAATACAATATCTCTTCTCACATATTAGCTTTCACAATTCATTGCTGCCCTCATATGCACAATCTTTTCACACCATTAGCCTTGCAACTCCCACCTAAAGTCATGAATTTTCACATGATATTGCTACACTGTTGCATGTAAATGAGCATGTGACAACCCTCCACCAATAGGAGTGCAACACAATCTCCTAGCACAGCTGGTTCCCTCCATACTGATTGTTCAATCATTAATTCTCGATTTGGCTTGCATGTTTAGACTTTTTTTTTGCTTGTGCAAGTAGGTAAATTTGCATTTTTTTTTGAATTTTGTATTCCTTCCAACAACAAAATTTCTTGTTGTCTTTGAATAGTTTTGTAAGTAACAATAGATATGCATATGCAGTCTTCCTTTTCATATTATGAACTTTAAAATTCATGTTACTACTACCCTGTCTAGCATTGATCAACTAGACAAAGAACAACTATGGTATCAGGTGCTTCTGTCTGTCAAGAAGGGGTTGGCCATCGTGCATTGAGAGTTGGAGTTATACATGTGGTTTGTTCCTTCAACTGATTTGGAAGCAGATATTTCCTTCCCAGTTGAACCAGTTTGCAAGGACAATGATTTTGACAACTTTTGTTTTTAACAACGTTATACTTCCACTGCCCTTAGTCTTCCCAGACATTCTTCTTCCTTCTCAGGTTTATTACATTTTTGTCCCTTCCTCTTGTCTTATAATTCTTCTCCCTCTCTTCTTTGTTCAGCCCCTACTACTGAATTATTATGTTTCCCTCCTTCTTCTGTATTTTCA